CCGTACTCATCGGTCTGCCTCCCATAGTCGCCGCCTCCACCACGCTGGATTGGGTTGCCGTACTCATCGGTCTGCCTCCCATAGTCGCCGCCGCCGCCGTATTGCGCCATGCTTTTCTTACCTTTTCAAGAAAACTACTGCTGATATTGTTTTTTGTAACGAGAAGAAAGATTTTCTGAGATGATGGTGTGATTAATTGATGGTTTTAGTGCACGGATTATATAGAAGAAATCGAGAAGCGGTGACTAGACGCGAGGAGCCGTTAGGAGTCGACACGTAAGCTGTTTTAGGGGAATAGTTATTTTAGTATTTAGATTTATAATCTAGTATTTTGTTTGACAAGCTTTGATTCAGACACGTGTTCGGTTAGGTGGCAGCAATCGATGATAAGCTTGTTCGATGTTATCAAATATAGGTGAAAAAAAAAATCATATTTGTTGATGAAATGGATTGGATAAGATTAATTAATTACTTCACGCCGAGAAAATAGTGGTTATTATACTACCAATAGTGGTTATTAAGCAACCAAGTGGTTGAGTTGGTCTTATGATAAAATAACTAATGGAATAGAGACACTTGTCTCCATCCCATTGGTTCATCTTTTTTTTTCTAATAATTTTTAAACTAATATATTTTTTGTATAATCAAATAAAAAATAAATAAATATACCAAAATTCATAATTTTTAATTTTCTACAAATAGAGATCAATTTTGCTATACTTATTTTTATTTTTAAATTGACATAAATATGTAATTTTTAATTCTCTATCATTTAATTTGCACTAATACAATGAAAAAAGTAACAGTTTTTAAAATATGAATATATGCGCTAGACCATATATGGTCTAGAGTGTAACTTTGCACTAAATGTTACATCTATCATAATTTGCACTAATACAATAAAAAAAAAATAACAGTTTTTAAAAAGTGAATATATGCGCTAGACCATATATGGTCTAGAGTGTAAATTTGCACTAAATCGTATATTTTCAATAGTGTTCTAAGTTTCATGTGTGTTGTAATTTTTAATTTTTCATCTTGTGTGTTGTAATTTTTAATTTTTCATCTTGTGAATTGTAATTTTTAATTTTATTTGTGTGGTGAAATTTTAATTTTCAATGAATATTTATTTCTCCGATTTTATTATGTATAATTAAAAGAAAATAAAAGAATTAAAAAAAATAAAAAAATATAATAATTAAATAAAATCAAATTAAGAAAAAAAAAAGGTTGTGGTTGGATGTTGGTGTGGTTGCTAATAAACTTGCAAAATTGAAATGGTGTGGTTGGGATGATTATTGATGATGTGGAAGAGAGAGAAAATAATTAAATATTAGGGTGGTTGAATGGTTGGGTGTTTGGAAAGGTTGCTGTTATTCGTAGTCTAGGTGGTTGGATTCGGGTCCATTGGAGTTTGTACGATTGCTTTTTGCCACTCGGGTTCTTTTTCCCGCTCTTGGCGGAAGCTTGAGTTATCAGAAACGGGCTACGCATTACATTTGACTGGGGTTTCAATCTTCAGATAGCTTTAACGGATTCTATGGGCGTAATCAGTTAGATTTCCTACTAATATGAGCTCGATCCACTGATTGGAGTGTTGATCGATGATATTAGAGTCACTCGATCCTCATTTCTCTTAATTGTGGCCGATGCGGTTATCTACCAAAAAAAAAACAAAACAAGGTGGCCCACAACATAGCAAAAAATAGTGGTTATTTCAAATAAGATGAACTTAATCAAACAGTACCCTTATTGAGGAGCTCAATTTTTTCAACAGGTACTTGAGCTTGATTAGACTTGTTAAGACTTAACTCGACTCAGACAGTATGTACAAATGCTCAAGACCGACTCAAGTTTAAAGAGGTTCATGTTTGATTTTTGGCCGAACTTAACCTATGGATCGGAGTATTTAGATAATTACAAATTTATTCGAGTGGCTCATCGATCAAGCTTACAAAATATATATGTACAAGTTCTACCATGACTCGAGTTCAACTTCGAGATGCTCGAGATCAACTCCAGCTCATTCAAACTCGAGCTTAAATTTCATATTTTATTCCACTAGTTATAAATTTTATACCCAATTTTTTTTTTATATATTTTTTTTCCACTACCTTACACAAAATAAGAAATTCATTTTTGCAACATATCATGAGTTAGCTGATAGGTGTCACAAGTATAGCATTTGGGGGAGAAAAGAAAGACAAACCTGACGGTTGTGAACAAACCAGTCATTGACATGAAAAGGATGTGAACTAAATTTATCAAGACTCATTATTACAGGTTTAATTATATCTATATACATACAAAATATATGTGTCGAGTTGGCTTCATTTAGTTCAATATGAGGTTTTGGGGGCAGAAATGGCATACAAGTGTCCCTGATATTCGTACTCAATTATTGTCAGAAATCAACTGCAGTAACATAAAATCATATGTCGGCAAATCTTTTTGACCGACTCGTTAGGAAGAACCCGACTTGTGGATGGAGCAGTTTACACATGTTCGTTTTATAAAATAACATGTTCATTTTAAAAAAGTCTTGGCACACCTTGTTAGATGTGTCCTGTATTTGCGGCCAAGTCGAAGCCAATGGTCCGGACCCCGATAAACGACCACGATGAAGAATAAAAAAATTGCATCATATCATTCACGAGATCCTCGTTGCATCATATCATTCACGAGATCCTCGTAATTAGGGCGGCAAACGAACTGATTCGAGTCAAACATTGGCTCTATTTAGCATGATTGATTTCTTTTAGCTGCTCGAGTTTGATTTATGAAGCTCGAGCTCGACTCGATAAAAAATTACAATAGCTCGAGCTCGACTTGAAATCAAAATGCTCGAGCTCAACTTGAAAAATATTAAATGAAAAAGCAATATTATCATTAAACACCTATGTTAATATATATAAGTGGTATTTTAGTAGTTTAAATGAGAGAAATATTAGCCAAAAGCTCCCCAATCTCATCAGATCTGCCACATTCACCTCTTCGACAACCATAGTAAAAGGGTGCACACAGTGTTCTGGATCGACCTACGAGCCATCCTTGAAGAAAGTTAATCAATTCCATTGTTTTTATTCACTTCCATCGAGCATACAGACACATAAAACATGGACGTGAGCAACCCAGGCTTGCATTCGAAATCTCGGCCGACAGATTCCTTCAACCTATTTTCTTTATATTTTTCTCTGTAAACTAATTCTTAAACTTGCCAAAACTTGCCAGACAATCAAAAGTTCCATTTTAGACTGAATCACAAGTTTTGATTTGAACAAAAAACAAACCCAGGGCATATCATTGCAAACACAAGGTATTCTTGTTCCATATCCTCCAGGAGGAACTTCACTATTCACCATTACGCTATTTATCTCCTCATTGATGAAAAATATAAACCTTGTAGAGACGTACATGATGGAGGAGACAAACTCTTGGCCAGCTCCAAAACTTGAATCAATTCGCATATTTGAGATGAAAACATATAAATCTCGTCGGCTTCATTCTTTCTCGCCCAGTTGTCCAAAATCCTTCGTTTAACATCACACCATCTAGAATATCAGTTTCATGTAATAAACCAAGATCCACAAAAAGCAGCCATCTTATAATTGTACTGGTTCAATAACTTGAACTACTGAAGTTTAGCCATGTTTTACATTTTTGCAACATGTAATATACACGTTTTTGGACTTTACAACCTATAATATTTTTCGTTATAAAATGCATGCAACCCTGGATATTCATAATTTGCAACCACTAATGCATCTTGACTATACAGTTATCCGCAAAAACACACATGTGTGCAAGATGTACGAGATGTTGCAAATCATATATTTCCGAAGTTTATGTTACATTTTATAAAGAAAAATATTATAGGTTACAAAGTCCAAGAACATGTATAGGTTGCACAAAAATGTTCTAACTTAAAAAAAAAAAAGGCAAAATTGCATATTAATACACAATTTTTCATGTTTTTCCAATTTAATCACCATCTTTGAAATTTTGCAAATTAATACACCACATTTGCCATTTTTGCAAATCGATACATGAATGACGGTTCTGTTCAATGTTTTCAGGTCGGCTGGTCGAACCTGGTCGACCACGGACCGACCAGACGATTAATCGTGATTAATCGTCGACCAGCTAGATTAATCGGGCTGCCTCCTTCCTATATATATCCTAACCCTAACAGGCCAAACAGGCCAAGCCCAGCAGCCCACATACCAGCCCAAAAAGACAAATATATGTCCTGGTCGTCCATATGCCCTGGTCGAACGATTAATCGTGATTAATCGACGATTAATCGGACGACCAGGTTTCTGGTCGAGCTGGTCGGGTCGGACCTCCTAATCGAGCACTTGGGAGCGACCATGACGATTAATCGCGATTAATCGGACGACCTAAAATCAGGGGTTCTGTTAACAAAAATCTAACGGAATTCTGACATGGCATTAAGCCATGTCAATTCCATGTCATATTTCTTTTAATGGAACCGTCATCCATGTATCGATGTGCTAAAATGGTAAATGTGGTGTATTAATTTGCAAAATTTCAAAAGTGGTGATTAAATTGTAAAAACATGAAAAGTGGTGTATTAATATGCCTGCAAAAAAAAAAAGGTCTAATTATTGTCCAGATTATAAGTATCCCGCAAAGTGTTAGATTGAAACAGTCAAACGCATGTCCTCCTTATGACTTGAGAGAGCACAATTTGTAAAACAGACACAAAATATCATATGATACTTTGGATTTCAAAAGATATTTAGCCTCTTTTGAGACTAGGCTTAACCTTCAGGTGGTTTTGTCATAAAACCCATAATTTTCCTACTCTGATTTGGAAGAAGTTCCGGATTTCAACTATCCTTTTAACCAATTCACACCGGGTCACCAGAAACACCAAACATTATTATAAACCACAATACCATCTTCAAAATCAAACAGGCTTTAAAAGAAACAACTTTACCTCGAATCAAAATCAACACCATGACCAGATGCAGAAAATAACACTTTGATGCTGGGATGCATAATCAACTTGAATGCTTGTTCTTCAGGGTTCAAACTTCCAGCACAGCTCCATGTATTCGGATTCAAGAGAACAATTTGCAAAACAGGAGATTTAGTTTGCATGTCCCGAACTATAGTTCTGAACGATAATTCATCCTCTGCACTTTCCAACAATTGACAAGCAAACATTCTCTCGAGAGTGTGATTCCTGTTCGGAAGAGAAATTAAATATATAATTTATCAACCAAAAACCGAGGTTTAAAAAAAAAGAATGATACAAAACATATAACAAATTATATATCAAAAGAAAAAAAAAATCACCTAAATGCATCATTGGGTACATTTTCTGGCAAGCATGTTGAAATGTAGCATTTGTAAAGACGAACCCCACCATCTAAAGGCACACCATCATCATCAAAGCAAGGGTACGATCCAACAAGGCACGAACATTGTGGGCATAAAAACTCGACCCAGTGGATGTCTTTTGAGAGCCCAGACGACTTAACCATAAAACCATTCCCGAGATAACCATCTAGAAACACTTTCTGATTTTCGAGAAGATTAACATTAGTTTCATTAGTCAGCAACTCTGAAGATGATCCCAACCCGCCCGAACAACAATTTGCACTATTACAATTATCACCTTTCTCAGTCACCAACAATCTCTTGTCTTCATCTGCTAAATCTCTTAGAGTTCCATTTTCATCACTATGATTTACAAGACAGCCAGCTAGCGCTTTTAACCCATCTGGTGAAACTTTATCACTAGGTGAGTTTAGATCAGACTCAGTGTTTTGCCTTGGGTTTATATTGGGGAACTCACATCCCAAGAGATCATCTTTACATAAAAGAACAGATGTTGTGGTCAAGAGGCATAAACCTGGACTGCAAGTGTAGGATTTTGCATATTCTGCAACCAGCTTCTCGCTCACACCTCCGAACGAGCAACAACAATTCCCAAACCAATTATCAGCAACATCCCTCCAGTTAGCAGATGGCATTTCCTTAAAACATCTGCATCGACATGTAAGTTTTTCTTAGCATGAAAATCTATCAGGGGAAGAGTATAGGATATAAACATGAAACCTCTGTGAAAGTGAATGCAATCACATTGATGTTTACATATAGTTTGCACGCCACTTTGGCTCCGTAAACTATGTTCTCTTGAACAAGGATGCTGAATTTGAGCCAAAAGTAAAGTCATAATTCACACTTTGCAGTATTCACGATGACTCTGGATGGATTTACCAACTATTTATCGCTCAAAAGAATAAGATAATGAAACCAACTGTAATTCCAATTTTCCAGTCAATGGCGATAACATGCATCATGACGAATAATAATTATGATGAATAAAAGCATAAAATTCATCACGATCAATAAATAATAAAATCCAAACAATGCTACGAAATATACAATCCGAACACAATCCGAATGGTATTTCTAAAGAATGTCTGAAGTGAAAATGGGAAAAAACTACAAGGTTTAAGATTTAGAAAGTGGTCTACAAATTGATTGTTAATCAAAATCCAATCACAGAGATACACCAAAAAAATCAAAAACTGAATGACTGAATAAACATCAAAACGAGATATTAAATGCATGCCTGAGACCCTTTGTCAACTTATTCGAGCAATTTCTGCAGTAAAGGTGCACCTCCTCCATTGAAGATAACTTCTTTATATCTGAAATCCAAAATTATGCACATTACTTACAATCTCAAACGGGAAAAACAAGTGACCCAGAGCTGAAAATAGTTCACAACACCAAAGAAAAAGGAATACAAAAAAAAA